TGTCGTCTTAGTAAAGTTCAAAAGCTTCTATGCGACCTCGTGCCTGGTGAATTATTTTCCACTCTGCAACGTCTTTCCCACTAAGGAAACGCGGTAAGCCTCTCGTTAATCTATCACTATTTCTATGAAAAATGGTCGGAGGTTCTACAGCAACCACAGATTGTTTGACGTTAAGAAAATCAAAAGAATTCCAATAATTGAATAATGTCTGAACCAATATTTGTCAAATTTAAACACGTCTATTTCCACCCCTAGTAAAATAGTTGTTTATTTTTTTTGCCATTTCTAATAGTCTTGGAGAAATTTGGAATTTACGAAAATGGACTGACTAAAGTTATTATGCAGAATAAACTAATATTAGTTTAAGACCTCTGAAATCTTATAAAACATTTTTTGTTGTTCATAATATATGTTGAGATATGGGTAAAGGGAAGGATATAGCAACTGCTGAAATACAGAAAACAAAGTTATTCAGTGAGGGAATGTCCATATTAGAGATATCAAAGGAGCTTTGTAGAGATCATTGAACGATAAAGAAGGCTGTTGAAAATATAAGCGCTCAAATCTTTGGAATTGAGGGAGTCAAGATGGACAAAAGGTGTAGAATACTTTCTAAATATACTTGTAAGCATACAACTGAGTCTTCACCCACCTTTCCACTGACTGGACAGTGTGTTCGTTCTCATTTGTATCAGCGTGCACCAAAAACAGAAAAAGGCCAGTAGCTTGCTCAAAAGGAAATGAAAATAAAACCTGCAGCAAGGAATCTGTTTTCAGTGTATTTACAACCTGTCTGAAGTTATTATGCACACCAAATAAACTTCAATAACTCAACAAGTTTTGGATAAATATTTATCAAATTTAGACTCCTTTATTCCCACACTTAGTAAAATATTTAATTAAATTTTCTGCTATTTTTAATGGTTAGTTTTTGAGATATTTGGAATTTACGAAAATGGACTAATTGAAGTTAGACCTCTGAAATCCAATAAAAACTATTTTTTTCTTTTTGTCCATAATATATGTTGAAACATTGGTAAAGGGAAGGATCTAACAACTGCTGAAAAATAAAAAAAAAACAAAGTTATTTAGTGAGGGAAGGTTCACATTGGAGTTATTAAAGGAGCTTTGCAGAGATCATCGAATGATAAAGAAAACTGTGGAAAATATAAATAAGTTGAGAACTCGAAGCAAAGGAAAAGAACTTGCTTCCTAGAGATGAAGGCAAACTAAAGCAATTTATAGCAAAACAATCACATTTGACCATCTCCCAGATGTTTAAAAATGCTAAAATTGAGGAAGTAATAGGACAAAAGATGTAGAATTCTTTGTAGTGAGTTCTGTAAAAAGTTTCCTAGGCAATCTCCTCTCACAAAATCAAATATTTTAAATCATCAAAATTTGGCCAGGAAATACATAAAAATAGAATTTTCTAAAGTAAGTTTTAGGGACGAACATTGAATGATATTTGATGGACCTTGTTACAGAATGAGAAGCCCGGGATCGAATGGTCAACGATTGACCGTAGTGATTCGTGGGCAGGACATTCTAACAGAGGGGGATTGCCTTTGTCTGGGTTTTGAATATACGGCCAAAACGACACGAATTCAACAGAGGATCGAGAGAATTCTGATGCGTCGATATGCCTCCCACACCCAGGTTTGCGACCGGCTAATAACACCTGCGGAGGGATCCTGAGTCACTTTGTGACATGCGTGCATGTCAGGTCAGTTTTACTACTGCCTTTTAGAGTCCAAGCTACGAGGGTTAATAAAATGTGCCAGAAGAACTTAACTTATTGATTAATAAGCTGATAAAGAAAAATAGGGATTTATTTTCTACGAATGACAAAAATCTAGGTAGGACAGATATGGTGAAAATGCGTATCAACACTGACGGGCATGTGCCTATCAAAAAACGTCCATATCGCACACTCCAAACACAAAGTAAACGAGGCTTTAGAGGGTAATCTTAGAGGTAGGCATTATAGAGAGATTTTGAAGTTTTGTGGTTTCACAGTGGTGCTTGTAGAGAAGAAGGATGGTAGTAAGAGATATCGTGTAGATTTTAGGGCTCTAAATAAGAGCAATGCACACCTGCTACTGGTTATTAGCATCTTTTGGCACAGCTAGGTACATTTCCAAATTAGACTTAAAATCCGGATAGTGGCAGCTAGAGCAACCTGAAGAAGATAAGGAAAAGACTGTGTCATCAGGATTTATTCCATTTTAACGTTATGCCATTTGGACTGACAAACAGCCGCGGATTCGAAACAATTTAGCACCCAAAAGGACGAGTAATACGTTTAGCACAATTCATAAGGCTTGGCAATATGGACTGGTAAGCTTCAGCTTAGATGTGGCAGCAATACACCATTGCTGGTATGATCTGACTCTTGAAACGATAAAGAATATCACGAAGAGTCAGTTACTTTCTGAAAACGACCATTCCGGCATCATTAGGATTGTCCTGATTTCTCTAGATCATAATAAAGTAGTCTTTTTGCAATCTCACCCAAACCAAGTTCTGTAATCCATTTACGGAAGCATGTTAAGTAGGTTATATGCTGCATTCTTCTGTCCGCCCTGCCTTCAGTATGTCCTCTGAGCGTCTAATTTTCTATACCCTCTTTCCTCATTATGTGACATAGTTATTCCATTTTTGTTTCAATTTTCTCTCAAACTTCATAATTGCTCAATATGTCCATTCCATGGTATCCACAGTATGTATCTATAGAACCAAAATTTTGTTGGTTCAGGTCTCTTCTTCATCTGCGATGAAATTGTTAACATTCATTGCTATATGGGAAGACTGACATTATATAACACTTCTGTATACGAGCTCCATTTGAGGCCTGGAGTTAGCTTTCATTTCAATAGGAGTCAATCGACCTCTTTGACAGTACATCCGCTAATCAGGACTGAAGGAATGTCTGCTCGGTGGTGACGAAAGGTTACTAGCTTTGGTTTGGGTGTCGTGAATGATACTGAATGATACAAGCCAGCCTTTTCTTCAGTAAAGACAAGCTGATTGTTAGGTCGATGGAGATACCAACGCCTGGACTTTGTTCATCAAGATTTTTTGCTGGAGCTTCAGTTTCAACAGGAAACTCTTACCGCATTTTAGACATGTATTCTTCTATAATTTATAAATATTATGGAAACTATATCTCTCCTACACATTAACAGCGCAAATATTTCCTTAATTTTTAAAATTAATTTATAAAAATACAGGATAAATTAACTGTATGAAATAATGAAAGAATCTGTATAAATATACACACACACACACACATATATATATATATATATATATATATAAATATACCTACGTTGGAAGTGCAAATTAAAGTTTCGTTATTGTACCAATTCATCAAGTACGAATTATTTCTTTAGATTTTAAATTTTATACTGGGTCTCGTGGGAGGAACGGTAAAGTAAACGCATATTTAACGCTCAACTTAAATAGAAACGAAATATAATATTGGTGGGTAAATACAGAATGTAGATTGTAGGTATGGGGCTATTCTAAAAAAAAAGGCAAGCTTAAAGTTTAAAAGAGGAATGTCAGGTACCTCGTCAAGCAATAACATACGTTAAAATGGTTAAAGAGGGTAACCAATGGTTAAAGAGGGTAACCAATATTTAACCTAAAATATAGGAAGTTCATGTGATATTTGGATAATATTTTTATCCAGAATTAAAATATTTTAAGAGAAATTTCTTTCTGTGATTACAAGTTAACATTACTTCATTTCGTTTAAGTAGATTTCGGTCATTAATATTTTTAAGGAGGAATCTTTTTTTCCAGCAAACACAGGTTGCATTGTTCGCCGCGACCGGAAAAGGGTGTAGTTTTGGCGAAGAAATTCCAATTTACAATTTTCTTTTCTATAGGTGTTAGGATGTTGATTTGGGGTTAGTAGAGACAAACACCAAATAACACGTAACAATAAAAAGGTTATAGTAAAAATAGGTTAAAATAGGTTAGTAAAAAGGTACAGAAATCGCCTGAGTAGTCAATAACTAGCTCAGCTAAGAACTTCTCTGTCTATCTATCTTAGTATTTATCGATCCACCCACAAGGATTGAATATGGCACAAGGCCGGTTTAGTGTGGGTATCTCCGAGCCCGTAGGCTCGGCCAAAAATATAGCCTTTGAACCCGCCAAGACGGGTTCAGGCCCTGTCTACCTCCCCGGACGAAACCTTGCTCTTCGGCAAAGCTTCGTCCGGGTTCCTCTCTGCTAACGCAGAGAGTTCGACAGACGTCGCTTACAGTCAAAGACTGTATCACGACTCAGCTAGATTCGGAGGTCTTACCCTCTCTGTCTATTTATCTTCTCCATGTCAACTGACATGCCACTATTTAAAGTTTTTGTTCACAAACGCAGACAAGTTCATCTTCAAGAGGGGTGGTAGGTTTCCGACACAACAATAGGCAAATATAGTTGAAGGTAGATGAAATGGAGATATAATTTCAGTTGATTCATAATAATAGTCACCTCCATCATTACTTATGCGTAATTGACTGAAATAAACGCATACAACTAAAACTGAGGATAAATGTATGTGTGCGTGTGAATGCGTATGCCCATGCGTACGCATACATGAATGAACATACTTTTTTTTTCAGTATATACATAAAACGGATTTGTAGTTAAAGCAATGTCCAAACTTCGTGACGAAATCAAGACACGGCATGTCCTTTCCCCAGGGAGAACTGTCTGGAAAGTTGCAACTTGATTTTACCAAGTCTTAGCGATACCACCTTGGATATATAATGTAATGGAAGTTGATTTGAATAAAATCCCAGTGAAATTCGCGAATCCTCTGATTACAAATGAAGGAACACATCGGCAATAGTGAAATTACAATACGTGAACTGCGAAGGCCATATTAAGAAATTTTGTTACGGTTCGTGCTGAAGAAGAGAAAAAGAAAATATTGAAAAATGAAGGGAGGAAGCTTAATTAAGAATAATCTTATAATCAGAATTAGTTTAAAAGAAACGAGGTGAGTGAAGGAAATAAGATGGGTAGGGATTCGATAGAAGAAGAAATAGAAGAAGAAAACAGGAGAAAAATAGAGAGGAAAAACATTGTGGTGGGGCGTAAGAAAGGAACGTAAAAAGGGGGGGGAAACAAAGCAGAAGGAGATGGAGAAAGGAAAGGAGGATATTATAAAGAGAGAGAGAGAGGATTGCAAATAAATATCGGAGAATAAGAAATAGAGAAGGAATAACAGAAAAAGTGAAGAAGAAGAAGAAGATGATGATGATGATGACGAAGATGGTTATGATGATAATTATGAAGAGAAGAAGAGCAATAGAAAATAAAATTAAGTCAATAAGAAACAGAGAAGGAGAAAGAGAAAAGTGAAGTAGAGGTAGAAGAAAAAAGAAGAGGAGAAAAACAGAAATAAAATAAGGACAATAAGAAATAGGGATGGAGGGAGAAGAAATTGAACAGACGGAAACAGAGGAGTCAGGAGAAGAATGAGAAGTGGGGGAGAAGGGAAGGACAATAATAAGGAAAAAGAAAACAGGAAAGAAGAAGAAGGGGAAGGAGGAGGAAGAGAAATAATAATAATAATAATAATAATACGATAATGGAGGAATGCAAATAAATGCTATGTTTAGAGATATCTTGAAGAGACATGTTTATCACGTGATATTATTTGGAAGTCAAAAATCTAGCGAATCTGTATCTATCACAAACACACAGACACAAATATATATATATATATATATATGTGTGTGTGTGTGTGTGTGTGTGTGTGTGTGTGTGTGTGTGTGTGTGTGTGTATAAATATAAACATAAACAGAGATAATCGTTTGTATGAGCCCCGGTGGACGAGCGAGTGTGTATGTGTATCTGCGTACTTCAACGGTGTACGGACATGAAACTATGTTTGCGTTAGCATGAGTGACATCACGACGACGACCCCCCCCCACTTCCATAAAAACACCAATACACGCAATCTACATAAATCCAAAATTTTAAAAAAATAATCAGTTTGTCTAACGATCGCAAAAGCGTGAAACTCAGGGTCGCAAACTCATATCAATCCAACCAAAATATATATATATATATATATATATATATATATATATATATATATATATATATATATATATTGTCGGAGCCACCCACCTTCTCATCAGAATGGACTGATCACTCTACTACTAATAGGACAGTTCTATAGAGTTCTGGGAAGATCAGGTGACCATCACACTTCCGTCTCTCTACCGGAAGATACAGTTGGACTTTATACTATTTCTGATTGTTACTGACGAACCTGCGTTTGTTTGACTACTAATCTCTCTGTTGTAAATACCTCTTCAGATATACCAGTATTTTTCCCTACGTATTTGTTTGTCCTTATTCCAATACACGCACGCGGAAACACTCAACATCTCAACATATATATATATGTGTGTGTGTGTGAGTGTGTGTGTGTGTGTGTGTGTTCAAGGTGCATTCCATTGCTTTTGAGATTTTAAGGCGAGAGATTTATTAATTTCAAATTGTTGCAGTCTTTCAGCCACATCGTGTAGGTCCGATGTGAGTGATTGTGCCCAGGACCCTCATCACAGCCTCCTTCATCTTGCCAATCTTTTCAAAGGGACTTCTCCTGGATTCTATCCTTCAGCTTGGAGAACAACCACAAATCATAGTGACAAGGTCTGGACTGTAGGGAGCGTGAGGGACAGATTTGATGCCCATCAGTCATCTCGCTGCTGTCACCAATGCGTCTTTATTTCTGATCGTCACTGAATACCCCGGGAACAAGTTCTGTACAAACTTTGCGCATGTTCAGGTCTTCATCAATAAATCTGTGTAAAGTTACCATACCACTTTAAACCATATGATTATTGTCATTATACACACACGACGGTTTTCGTCCACAAAATTGCGAATTTTCTCAACCAGCTCTGATGTCTCACTCCTTTCCATATTTCACATTGTGCCTCATTTCCTCTTTACCGCCATTGAAATTCGTGTGCCATCAGAAATATATACTCGGCGCGTATAAGTTATTTAATGAGCAGTTTGGATCATTTCATATGTGTCTGTCGCATTTTTGCTCTGTTTAACAGAAGATGAGCTTCAAAATTGCCTTCACGTCCCAACTGCATTTTGCAATCTCGGCAGGTGTGGCAAGCAGTCTTTAGCAGGGCGTGTTCAAAGGCTCTTACAGTCGTTACCTTCAGTCAGCATGAACAAAGGTTGGTAGTTCAGCTTAGGTGATTTGTAATGATAAACTAAAAGTGCAATAATGTGTTATAACTACCTCTACTAAAAAGGCATGAAAACTTATGGAATAAATCGTGTTTTATATATATATATATATATATATATATATATATATATATATATATATATATGTATGTATGTATTTCAAACTATAATTACAATTATTAGAAATGCACTGTAATGTGGAAAGTACTTGGGAAATAAAAGTGATTTTCACTGTTACATTGCATTTATTGTGTGATTTAATTGTAATACATATTACATATAAATATTCGTGAATATGAACTAATTATGCTAAAAATAAGCACACATAATGTTTGTAATTTATTAAAATCTGATATGCCTAAAAGAGAATTTTCTGCCTAAATCTTTTAACGCATTATACACGTGATATATACAAACGTCAAATCAGCAGCCAGGCAACTCAATTCATATATGAGATCGATGCGTTATAACCGGGAGCAACTACTATTTTTATAATATATATATATATATATATATATATATATATATATATATATATATAGCATGTACAAAATTTGGGGGTGAATCCTCACACGTAACAAGGACAAAAGCCCATACAAATATATGCCCACAAATCCTTCGTTTTGAGTTATTACGTTTAAAGTTTACGATACACGTTATATATATATATATATATATATATATATATATATATATATATATATATATATATATATATATGAAATTTATTTCAATACTTCATGAGCTTCCGATCCTTACCTATCGATTTAATCACGATACTTCTATTAAGCTTGGAGAGTAATTATACATTCTTATTGGTCAAAATAGAGTTCAATAGTATAAATAATACTAATAATAGTCCAATGTTCTAAAAATCTCGAAGAATTCCAGTAAGATATGATTAATAATTTCTAAGATACAAGGGTTTAGCGTTGAATCTAACACTTGGATAATTTTGCCGCTTACGAATTGGACACTTTTGCTGTTACAACCTATATATATATATATATATATATATATATATATATATATATATATATATATATAAACCATTTTTATGTTTATTCATTCTTTTTTTATAGGTACAAATTTTTAAGTAAAAAAGTGCTCTGTTTATAATAAACAATATTAGCAACATTTACCGGCCTGAATATCCATGAAATTGTCATAGAAAATATGCGTAAAATCGATCTTGCTAACCGAACGCTACTCTGTGGCGAAATCGGTAAAAGCACTTCAGGCTGAATGACACTTTCTCGGAAATTAAGGCCGGCAAATGTTGTTAATACTGTTTATTATAAACAGAGCATTTACTTAATTTAAATATTTGTATCTATAAAAAAAAGAATGTATAAACATGAAACTGTCTTTAAAAAATTGTCGGACTTTGTCCATTTCATTATACATACATACATACATACATACATATATATATATATATATATATATATATATATATATATATATATATATATGAGTGTGTGTTTTTGAGTAAAAGTTTGGAAGACAGGTGGAAATTCTCTTTTGAAAACATAGAGCAAAAATATAAGAGAGTATAAAGTAGAAAATCTTCAGTATTCCTTCATTCTATTTGAAAGAAACAACTGAACATTTTATTAAAATTTCGATGAAAACGAAAACTGATGGGAAGGAAAGTTTGGGAAGATACAGTTAAATTGATAGAACATCACACCAGCAAAGTGAGACTCAAATACAAATATATGCCTCATGAGACTCTTGTACTATGGACATATCATACAAACTAATCGCGCTATGGTGGCAGGGTTCAGCTCAAGTAATCCAGTTCGTTCATATCATCTCCGATTGGGAGTGCTCTGAATTATCTAGACATGCCTAACAAGTCGCCTTGGCTGCTTCATTCTTCGAACTTTAAAACGAGAGCGACCTCGATACTAGCCCCGTACGCTCACTCTTACTACCGGTTGAGGCTAAGTAAATCAGCCCCACGAGGACCTTTTCAACCGGTTATGGGCACGTACTTAGCACCCTGACCTGTGATACTCTATGCAATATTGATTCATCTTAATTCACTAAGAAACTAATGAACATGCTACCAAACCTGCTGTAGCATGTTATTATCTATCTTTCCCCAAGCTTATCTTCAGCCGTCCTGTTACGACCAGAAGTGACTATCAACGAATGATTATTGCAATGATTCTCAACTTGGGGCGCATACCGTACCGGTGGGGCATTGTATTATTTTTGTGGGGCATGCGTAGGAGGATCAACTTTCATCTTACTATACCAACATGAGCTCAAATTTCATTTTGTATTATTATATCATGATTAAAATAATCAAAGTATACTAGAGAATAAACTTACATTGAAATATTTTATATTACTGCCTTTCTTTTTTCCTATTATATGTTTTGAAACCATATATATTTAACTGTCTTTTTGTTTTTTTTAATTTTTTTACTTTTATTTGCGCCATGGTTTTGGAGGCTTCTTCAGAGACCATGTTTTAAGCTCCTTTCACGGGAATTGCTGTATAGTTTTGAATATGTAAGAATTAAATATTACAAAGGGGGGGGCAGGCACAAGAATTTTAGAAATACCAAAATGAGGCATGGCCCAAAGTCGGTTGGGAACCACTGCATTAGATGAATAAATCTCCGCTTTTTAATGAAAATCAAGTCATCCGTCTTTTCACCTGGAGAAAGTTTTATTTTCTTTTTACAGTGTTAAGCAGCACAACGCATATGGTCTGTATTGGCTACATTTATTGTCCCAGTAAAGGAATTCGGCCAATTGCTTGTTGCTGTGGTATATTAATTTTCTGTCTTTCCACAAGCTTATATCTTGCCGTAATTTTACGATCAGGAGTGAGTATCAACGAATGATTATGGATTCTGATATTTCTTTAACTTTCTGCATCGACAAAACCTTTCTTGCAATTATATATATCCTAAGCAGAAATATTTCCTGAAGTATCTCTGTTCGAAGCCTAGTTCAAATTTTCCTCAGCCATTTTGGATTTTATCTGTCAGTCTTCTGTTGATACACACAACAAAATGAACATCTACTTTTTAGCATCCCAATAAACGTGTTTTCTCATCTTTCAAATTTTGATAACTTCCTCCCTCCAGTTCTTTCTAAACTTCTCTTACGTTCCCTGGTACAGCCATAGCGATGGACGAGCAATGTCTTCATTGCGAACACCAAAGATGTCAGGCATTCTTCCTTCAATTACATTATCACATTGCACGGCCCCAGACTACTTGTACGCTCTCATTTTCCATTAGTGCAAGTGGTCTACGCTTTTTATTATTATTATTATTATTATTGTTGTTGTTGTTGTTGTTCCTTTTACAATCAGTAAAATCGGGTGGTTTTCACTGGAGAACCTGCAAAAAAAACATAGTTCTTTACGCTGATTGTTTTGCTCTTGTCGATAGGCTTGTTTCTTTTACGTTCTTCTTCAGATTTTGAATGATTATTTATTGAAAATCGGTGCAGTTCCTAGCTAATTATGATAGGGATGACGTTAACTTTTTTTCCTTTGCCATCAGTGACGTGCTGTCATATTATTTGTGATAAGAGGAACAGCCAGGAATTTTAAGGTCGTAATAAGAGAAGGCTTGATAATTCCCTGATGAACAAAGGCCACATTGGCATTCCAGTATGTCAGCAATTTGATTAAAATCCAATGTGAAATTCTTGATTAGATAATGTCAATTATTTCTTCTGTTTTCATATTTCCCAACTAGTTTGGAAAGCCGTTGTCGACCTTACAAAGCGTTCAAAAATTCATACAATTATCGCTTTCTTATTCTTTGGTAAGTTACAGATATAATCCCAACTTTACAAATTCTTTTAGTATTTATCTGTTATCTGGAAAAACTTCAGCGACTGAAAAGTGTCCTACACTTCTTGTACGATGAGTACATTAATAATAAAATTTCTTCTTCCCATCGTTACAGTTATTATTATTATTATCATTTGCGCTATATAATGAGGAAGAAGACTTAGAGACTCTGGCACACACAAGATGCACTGGATCGTGTGAAAACAACAAATAAGCAAATTGTTGTGTTTGAGTCAAATGATGGCAGAATAAGTACCAAAAATCTGGAAAAAAAGAAAGAGTAAACAAGTAAGCACTGGTTGAATTAAACAAAAAGAGGGAGGGAGGATTGGACACACACACACACACACACACACACACACACACATACACACACACACCTATATATATATATATATATATATATATATTGTTACGAACTTGTAGCCTATAGATGAACCCCGGGTTTAAAAAAAAGAAAAACGTGCGATCTTTTCTCCGTCTTCACTCAGAAATGGAAGCGACACAAGGGAATCAACGAAGAACAGACACACGACGATGGATTTCAAAATATAAGATTTATTTATAAATATATATAAAGAAATAAAGAGAGAAAAAAAAGAACATTCATTTAACAAAGGGGAAGGAGATCATTAAAGAACAGAGGCGCGAGCGAATACATACATATATAAAAATAGATCAAACCAAGAGAATCAACTTATCTTTCATTCGAGTTGATATTTTCACACAAAGTTCTGATTCGCCGAAGAGTTCTTATGCTACAACAATATTTTGGCCGGTCGGCGATTTTCCTGGATTCCTTTTTTTTCACAAGTTTTCGATGGTCCACAGCATCTCGTCCAGGCGTTTGGTTGGGTTGATTCAGTTTCATAGCAGTCCTTTCACCCCTAGTCGACAGACTTTGCCGTCTTCTCTATCTCAGTGGGCAGTCCGTTTCTGGAATCGGGGCGATTTGCCCAGCGATGTTCAACTGCCGATGGTCAGAGGGAAACTGAAAAACTTTTTTTAGATTTTCGCTGTCCCCAAAGACAGTCACGTGGGTTCCCTTCGTCCTTGACCGGGTACGCAGGAGGATGGGGCGCAAATCACGAAGTGTTTGTATGGTGGTCAAAAGTTCAATACACGCTTAGTATGTTCTGATCACGTGAATCGCAGTAGGAGACCCTGATGATGCCTGGAATCCACTCATGGTCAAACGCCTGATAGCTGCGAAATTTTGGAACCAGGTTATTCTCGCGTCAGGTCACTTCAAAGTTCACGTGCCCTTGGCTTGTGGGTGGAAGAGTAGATAAAGAGGGAAATAATTTATGAAGAGAAGTGGAGGGTATGGCTGATCATGGAACATATTCGCTCACAAGTTGAAAGCATTGGATTAAATTTCTATTTTTATTTATTTATTTATTTTCTTTTATATCTAACTAATTTTCGACTAGAATTTAAGATTTTTACTTTGGGGATTTTAGCCTAACGCCTATGTGGTTAATGAAATCGTGGCAACGTATAATATATATATATATATATATATATATATATATATATATATATATATATATATATATAGTTTTAAAAACAAGGAATGCATTGATTTTAATTTTAAAAGTCTCTAGGGCCCTTTCAGCCAACATCTCATCAGGAGACAATCGTTGGATCAACGAAAAGAATATTAACGACAATGTAGAGCAAAAAGAGGGGGAAACACACTAAAATAACAAACAAGTGTATATATTTGTAACGAGGGGAGGGGAAATAATCGTGTAAATAAATTAGCGAGGGACAGTTAAAATAAAATATCCCCCAACAGATTAAGAGACTTTACAAATTCTTTCTGCCGGCAGAGAGAAGGTTTCCTTAATCCTGTGCAGACCGATTCCAAAATCTTCAAATGATTGTTGGAATCGGCTGTATAATTTTAAACCACTCTTTTTTAAACAACTTGGCGCAGGCTATATTCTCAACCAAATGTTGAGCAATAGCCGATTCCATATTCATGGGGGGAAGATAGCATATTCTATCTATCTTACCAAGTCGTATTTTGGAAGGTACGTGCTGATTGATTCTAGTTTCCAAATGCAAGGTTGTACGCCCCACATAACCAGCAGCACACTGGCAATTAAACTTATATACTAAATTACTCAATTTGATGTAGGGCAATACATCCTTGCGAAAAGACGGAAACACAGACCTAGTTCGAAAAATGCTACGTAAAGCAACTGATGGGATACAACCGGAAACCGACTTGCTAACCTGCTTAATTAAGCCTTGACCCCTATCCCCAATCCAAGGAATTTTCAAATACACTGGACATTGAGAAGGCCCCTGGATTTTAGGGGAATTAAATTCCTTAGTCTTCTTACTAATAATATAGTCAATAAGGGCCTCCGGATAGCCGTTACTAAGGAAAATCTCCCTAATGTTTTCAAATTCACGGACCAATCTAATAGGAGAACAAATTTTAAGCGCTCTATACACCAAGGTTTTAACAAGATTGATTTTCCTTGATGCAGGAGCAAATGAACGCCAATTCAAATAAAGACCCGTAAAGGTGGGTTTACGATAGATGCTAGTAATAAAACCACCTCTACTGCGTTCAACAAAAACGTCCAAAAAGGGCAGACAGTTGTCGTTCTCCCCTTCCATAGTGAAAGACAACCCATTGTGTAAGGAGTTGAGCTCATTAAAGAACTCAACAGCCTCACTTTCGTTAGAAAAAGTTGCAAAAGTGTCATCGACATATCTAACGTAAACAAACGGTTTAGACACTTTGCCGAAAAGTAACATCTCATGGTAGCCCACAAAAATATCAGCCAATGCAGGGCCAAGGGGACTGCCAATCTGGACCCCATCCACTTGACTATACATAATATTGTCAAAACTGAACTCCACCGAACTGGTACATAGTATCATAAGTTCTATAAATATATCCTTAGGAAAAGGAGGTGGAGCAATGTTACCTTCGTATAAAACGTCTGCACAGATATCAATAGTTTTCCTCAATGGTACGTTGGTAAACAGACTGGACACATCAAAAGAACACATAAAATCAGTATCAGGACAAGACTGTATGGCCTGTAGGCGTTCAACAAACGTGAACGAATCAGGTATACAATGTTTATCAAAAAATGTTTGGACCGGTTGTATGACCTGCAGAATCCATTGAGCCAGAGAATGTTGGGATGAACCAATCATTGAAAGTATTGGTCTCAATGGAACATCCTTCTTATGAACTTTAGGAAGACCATAACGCCTTGGTCTAAGGGAACCAGAAGGTCTAATCCTGTCATAAGTCTCCTTAGAAAAGTAACCTTTTCTAAACAGGTATAATAGACGTTTCTGAATTTTAATTTCATTTCTGTACGTGTTGTCACAAGTTTCAACTGGACCAATTTTTTTTTTAACTTTTCTGAATCATTCAAAATAATCAACATCTTTTGGATGTAATCTACCCGGTCCAGTAGAACAACACCAGCACCTATGTCTCCTGATGAGATGTTGCCTGAAAGGGCCCTAGAGACTTAAAATTAAAATCAAGGCATTCCTTGTTTTTAAAACTATATATAAATTTTGTACCTCCAAACATTTGTATATATATATATATATATATATATATATATATATATATATATATATATATATATATATATATATATATATATATATATATTCAGTGTATTTAATCAGCAAATGTTCTTTAACGCAAATATTAAAAAAATGAGACATTTTGTGTCAATTCACTCGTTAAAATACTCACTAGAAGTTAGTTTAAGAAACTGGGAAACTTTGACTGTATTTGTTTTACTTTTCTTCGGAAATTAATTTCGGACATATTTTGACAGAATTTCCTGTTTGTCTGGGAATTATTATTCATCATTTTGAAAATGTCGATCAGTAAAATTAAGCAACACATTTCTGTTGTTTTTAACCATAATATATATATATATATATATATAACATATAAAAATATATATATATATATATATATATTAATCGAATCAAAATTACTGTTGTATATATATATATATATATATATATATATATATATATATATATATATATATATATATATGAAAAGTGTGTATTTGAGCAGCAACCGCTGTTTTATGAAGGAAAAAATGAAAAAAAGCAAAAAACGGTGTTTGATAGACAGACAATGAAAAAAAGAACGAATAGGGAAATGAAACAAAGCGAGGACACAATAAACACCCCCCTCACCCTCACGCATGCACACTGGTGCAACAATGTCAATTTCGATGAAACATTTTACTGAGAGACTGATTTTGTTGCTTTGTGTTGTCTTTTTACAACAGCTTAGAACCATGTGGCAAAACCTATTGTTGTTTTTGATTGG